ATCAAGTGCTCTCCTTTGGGTCGTTCCCATAGCTAAAACGTCGGCTTATATTTTAGATCTCATGGATTTCTAAATTGTGTGGAAATCTTACTCTATTGAGTCTCTGGGAAGAGATTGGCATAAGGCCAGACTCTATCTTAGACCCAGACTGGTGAAAACATACAATACAAACATTTGAGAAGCCCATCTTTCTTACATTGATGCAGAAAACCAGGGTGTGCAGACCCAAGGCTTCTGGCTGCCAGGCAAGGAAGGTAGTGAGGTGAACCCTACGCCCATAGCAAGACAACAGAGAGTTGAAAAGACTGTGACTGGAATCCGGGGGCCCATTTTAAAAGAAATAACCACCACTCAGGGCCAGAATTCCTGCCTTCAGCTATGTGGGTGGACACCACTGTTGCCAGTCTCCAGCTTAAAATCTGAATGTTTGGGGGACTGTTTCTAATATTTACCACATTGAGTGGGTCCTCCAGAAGAAAGGCATTTGAGAGCATTTCAGAAAACTCGTGGAAAAAGGAAGGAAAAGATCATGGAATTTCCCACCCTTTTTTAAAGCTCTCTCAACCTCTGGCAAAAAAACGTGTATGAAGATGGACGTTCCTTTGCAATCGGTACCGTATGTTGAATGGTGTTAAAAGAATGCTTCCTATGCATTGCTAGAGAACTAACTCCAAAATAACTCACTGCCATCCAGTCAATGCCGACGACTCATAATGAGGCCACTGTGGGTTTCCGGGGAAGTAGCTGTTGACAGGAGTAGACGCCCAGTCTTCCCATCTTTCACCCACAGAGCCGCTAGTGCTTTTGAACTGCCGGCCAGGAAGATCACAGCCCCACACACAACCACTAGGCAACCCAGGATCTACATTAATGGTTGAAAAAGAGAGCCTATAGGGGCAGAAGTAGGGCAGCAGGGACAATGTGAGGTAAAAATTAAAAGGTCGGGCTTGATTATGAACATGATAACTCTGGAAGTTGGAAGAGAAACCTGGTTGCTTTGAGAGGATGCGGGGAATCTGAGACAAGGGAACTTTACTTTTTACTGAATGTCCCATTAAAAACGCTCTAATTTTACACCAAGTACTACTTCTAATTTTTAGAGAATATACTTTCGAGAAACAATGGTACTAACAAAAGGTGCTCTACAAGGAATCCTGATAGCATTGGGCTGCTAACCACACGGTGGGCAGTTTGAAACCAGCAATTGCTCCTGAGAATAAGGTGAGGTTTTCTACTCCGGGACAGAGTTACAATCTTGAGACAGTTCTACTGTGTCCTATAGGGTGGTTATGAATCAGCCTCGACTCAATGGCAGTGTTTTTCAGTTGGCACATGGATCAAAAATGCCAGAAAGGGGAGCTCTGGACTCTCTGTGGTTTAGGAGTGGAGAAGGAAGTGAGGTTCTCTAAGTTCTTTGTCAGATTTTTTTTTTTTTCCTATTGCTAATGTTAGGTTGCTAACCACCAGGTCAGAAATTCAAGACCACCAGCTGTAACATGGATGAACGAGCAAGCTTTCTACTCCCATAAAGATTTAGTCTGGATGATGATGGCAACAAATGTACAAATGTGCTTGACACAACAGATATATGTATGGACTGTGATAAGAGTTGTACGAGCCCCCAATAAAATGATTTTAAAAAATAGAAAAACGAACTAAAGTGGTCAAAAACAAACATAAAACCAGAACATTAACAATGAATATCTCCATGCACTGTCAAGATTGTAACCAATGTCACTAGCAACTTGGGTAGAAGTTGTTGCCTGGGAACCTAAGCTGCTGTGTAACCCTGCACCAACAATATAATAAAATATTTTATTTAAAAAAAAAAAATTTACACTCTCAGAAACATACAGGGACAGGTCTACTTTGTCCTGAAAGAGTTAGACTTGATTGAATGGCAGGAGGTCTCGGCTCCTTCTCCAGTGTCTCATTTACTTCGGAGTTTGCTTGCCAACATTTCTCTTCACCTCACAATCATGCCCTGCCCCCACCTGTCTTGTCTCAGAGAAAAGGAGAGCTGATGAAAACAGAATGGGAGAAGGGGGCAGATTAGAATGCTAAATCTCCGAAGGAAAAGCAGGCCTTGGATTTGCTTAGAAAGAAGATAGCTGTGTGAAATACAGGAAGCCCTCAAGCATGTGTACTTGCCTCCACCTTTCTCCCAACTCCAGGCCTTTGGAAAGCTGCTCTCCACTTGCAGTCCATTAGGTTGAGCACAAACTCAAGAATAGAGTGCAGTCCTGAAGAATTTATGACCATGCGACCGTGATTAACTCTTCATACTTCATTTTTCCTCATCTGCGCAAGAACTGCTGTCAAGATTACACAAGTTGTAAATATAAAGCATTCTGGGCCTGAGAAAGACGAGGGTTTCTGGTCCTGTAAAGATGAGTTTGAGAAAGGGCTCCCATCCTAAGCCCAGGGCAGGGCTGGCTCATTTCCCCGGGGCGATGGTATTGCTTTCTCTGCTGCCTTGGTCTGATCCAGATCACCAAGGTAGTCCTTTTTACTGTGGTTTTACATAGTTACAAGTCTGTCCACTCCAATCGATCTCCCAGCTCAGAAAAGGCAGGGACTAGCTTATTCATTTTTGTAGTGTCAATACCCAGAACAGTTCTCCAATAAACCATTTCCCAGAGACTCAGTTGTCCCAGCTGTAATTCTCAAACATGCCAGGTTGCTGGATGACTCTGTCATAGTGCATCAGGCCTTTCCCAGGTTTTTGTCTTGGTCAATCCATTCCTCCTTCCTCTTTTCTACTCATACCTTCTCATTCAAAGTCCAAGGGTTTGTTCAACTGTCACTTCTTTTGACAAGTCATTGTTGACCCCTTTCTCAAACCCCATTGAGAATTACTTGTCTCCTGGCACTTTATAGCATGTCTCTTTCCTAGGTAGGGAACATCTACTCTGTCCTATAGGGTCACTAATGAATTGGAATCACCTCTGTAGCAGTGGGTTTTGTTTTCCTGTGTTTTTAATCTTTACTAATTTCTGTTAGCTGTCAATTCCCTCTATTGGACATAGCTTTGAGAACAAATTCATCCACACAGTTCCTTAAACTACTGATGTGTAGTGCTCCATCCAGTTTTATTCAATAGATTTGGACTTCAGCCTCAAATTACTCCTGATTGCTGGTAGGCAGCCAAGGTTGAGGATCTGTTATAAGGATATGCTCAAGGGCCCTGTCCACTCATCAGACGCAGTACACAGAGCCTGCTCCTTTAAGCCTGAATCAACTTTGAAGGCTCTTTGAAGCAGACAGTTCATGACTATAAAACTGGTATACTCTTAAAAGCTAGCATAACTAGTAGAATGTGCTATGCCCAACCAGTATAACGGCACAGGTGAACAGGGCCCAGGAAAAACAGCTTTATTTGGACTAGAAACTAGAGAATGAGAGTCGGACCCAAGATACCACACTGAGCTATAGAGGGCAGGGTCCAAAAAGTAGGCAGAGTTCACAAACCAAATGGACTCCATTTCCCAGAATCCTTTGTGGTTAGTGCTAAAAGACTGGGCTGGGAGATGTTTTTGCCACTGAACCGCTAAAGTATGCCATCATTATTTCTTAAGACGTGCAGTACGTATTTATATAATTCAATTTCCAAGACACCCCAAACAATACTATTACAAAACAAAGCTTCATTATTTTTTTAATCACTTTGCAGATCTTAAATTTGTCTTCAGCATTTAGGTGAAAGGGCTCACCATCTTCAAAAATCAATTTCCCTGGAAAAATCTCATGGGGGGTGGGGTGGGAGAAATCTACCCAGGAAGCAAAACAAAGCATGCCATCCATGGCGATTCTCTTCCCACTTCCCATAGCTGGTAGGGCTTCGCAGCGGGTGGCGGTTCAGGCAGGAGGCACAGGGGCTAACTTCCCTCAGTACCACATGGAAGCTGAAGCATCATGGGAGTAGGACTGCTGAGACTTGAGGGAAGGGTGCAAGCCCTGCATTCAGTCAGAGTCACTGCTGGAAGAGGAGGAGGAGGAGGAATGCTGCAGGGGGAAAGGGGAGAGAGGATCAGCACCACAGAATCCTTTATCCCTCCAGGGGCCTTTCTTTGATGTCCCATCCCTCCACCCAACTACCCCTTCTGTCCCCAAGAAAGGCAGGCGTTTTGAACCAGACTGACCTTGAAACAGCAAAAGGATTTCTTTCAGCTACAAGCATACAAGAATGGATTAAACCATTGCACAGTATTGCATTTAGAGCTCTTTACCAGAGTCAAGGCCAAGGCAAGGGTAAGTTATAGGCACTAACCAGTACAGTATTAAGAAACACTGCCACCTCATAAATGTTTGATTAACTGCATGAAAAGTCCCTAATGGCTATGAATCTAAGTGAGTATAAACACCAGAATGAAAAAAAAAAACATACCAGAATGTACTATTTCTTAAGCACCAGTGGGAGAAAATGAGGTGGGGGGAGGTTGGAGGGGGGTGGTGTTTCTCTTCATGGTTCTCTATATGCATAATCCCAGCAATAAAGACAAAAAAAAAAAACCCCAACTGTCAAGTCACCCCAGACTCATCACAAACCTATAGGACAGGGTACAACTGTCCTTGTGTTTCTAAGACTGTTAACTCTACAGGTGTAGAAAGCCTCAACCTTCTCCCAAGGAGACCTTGATGGTTAGCAGTCCATCGTGTAAGCACCCCACTACCAGGGCACCTTCATCCCAACAAGTACCATTAAAATCCTCCAGTCCCAAAGTTAACTTTGTTCCGCGTTCAATTTTACCTTTCAATCTATAGACTTTCACCAAAGACTCAGATTTAAGTCCTTAACAGGAGTCCTGGTAGTACAGTGGGTTACTTACACATTGAGCTGCTAACCTTAAGGACAGTGGTTTGAACTCATCATTTATTCAACAGGAGAAAGATGCGTCTGTGGGTGGGGTCGAGCCCCACAGTTGACCGGGCCTGTGGAGCAACATGCGCAATTAAACAGAAAAAGCAGACGGACAGCAGAACGCAAGCGATTGATCTCATTTGAGAAGAGAGAAGTGGGACAAGAGTCCAGAGTTTATTCAACAACAGGTATTTATAGTATGTGGGGCCTGCAAGCCTCTTGTTATACATACACATCATTCAAATGGGCAATGTGCTCACCTCGAAAAACCCAAACCCTCAACAGGAACACTTCAAAGGGAGTACCACGCATGCACGAGATAAGAGGTGTGAATTGCTCCTTAAGAATAAGGGACAAAGAGAATGACTGCTCTTAGAGATGAGCATCTCTTAGCTGTATATGTGGGGAGGGAGGAGCCAGGCACCTGTAGGAGACAGCTTTGTGTTAGCATTTCTGGGGGGGTAGATGTATGGTGGAGAAACATCTGTACATTGAAGTGCTTTCCATGTCTCGGACTGTGGAGGCATGCCTCTCACTAGGGCTGGCATGCCGAGCCCCGTGGTCACGAGTGCTGGAGGCAGGCCCTGTGTACTTCCTTGCAGGTCCTCAGTTCCCCACACGTCCCCCTTCAGCTGTTTTATGGGCTACAGGTGCGACAGGACTGCTCTATCCGTTGGCACCTTCTTTAGTAATACCAGATTGCTGCAAAGATAAAACTACAGTAAGTGACACAGCCAAACCAGAACCCACCCCATGCGTAAACCTCTGGACCCTGGCCCGAGGGTCAAGTCCCTGGAGACCACCAACTGCTGAACCATGCCAGTGCCAGGCGATGTTTTTAATCCATTTCTAAAGGCACTGGAAATCTCTTCCGTTGTTCAATATCTAAGGAGATGTTCCCATTTAATCCGTAGTCCACATTTGCCTGAGTGGCCCAAAGCTGATGGGAATCAGCTTGCTATTTCTACACAAAATGTTATTTTGATGAACTCCTATAGTGCCCCTCCAACAACAGCGGTAGCAATGGCTGTGCCGTCCCAGTCCCAGGATGGCAGCAGTTACCATCCCTACAAACCAGTGAGGTCTTTTTTAAAAAACATTTCGTATACTATCTGCAACAGGACAGGTTTCTGGACTGCCTTCCTATCTGCACTAGAACTCATGGCCCCAGTCAGCTTTTCAAAATGAGAATTCGGTCTTCAGAAAGGGTTACACACAAGGTGTGGCTACTAGAATGATAGGTGGAACTAGACTGGCTGCAAATCCCCTGCATCTCCTGCCATAGGTTTTGTGGCTGGAGATGTTTTCCCTAAGTCCCACCCTAGATGTTCATAAGCAGGGACAAGGAGGCACAAGGCCTCCCTCATGCCATACCATCAGCTGTGGACAGGTGGCATTAACACCATAAAGAAGTTTGATAGTCGCATGGGGGAGAATTGAATTCTTCAAAACTGGTTAAAAACATCCCATGGGGCCCCCAGTCAATGATAGTGAAGTGTCACTTATGGACACTTTCCTGCACAGCCCATGGCACTTGAGCCCAGTGGCTTTGATGACTCATAACTGCACAGGTTTCTTCCTGCCCCTGCCCTCCTCCTGTGGTGACTGGATTTCCACGTCCCGCTATCATATAAAACCCGTGGTCGTTCTCGATTCCCAGCCAGTTACTCCCAAGCTCCCAGTTTGGTTTCGAGCACCTGGAGCTGGCACTCACACATAACGGCAATACCGCCAAATGTAGAGTGAAATTACAACACTGTCCCTCTCCCTGTGGGTGCCTAGCTAACCCGTTTCCGCAAGGACCTGGGGTCCACACAGAATCGTTTACAAATATGATAGGGGCTGGGTGGGGTCCATGCGACAATTTCTAACAGGAGCGAGTGGAAAAATACAGGTCCAATATGTGTGGTGGGCACCTACCCCAGAAGCTGCAGTAACAACGGCAACTATGGCCAGAAACAAGTTTTCTGGGGTCACTGGCTTGCCAGTGTTGGCTAACACTTTTTCGGCCCGCTGGGTCAGCAGTTTCACCTGCCCCCATGAAGGAGGGACAGGTGGTGGATGTCGGGCCCTTCTTTCCTTTTTGCGAGATGTCTTTCTTAAGGATGCAGCTATCATGTCCATGGTGGGAGCGGAATCAACGACCACAGGACCAGGTGGCTCCTTCTTTTCCTCCTCCTCCCCTTGCGTCTCTTTCACCACAGGGCTGGGGTCAGACTCTTCCAAGATGACCTCGTCCTCCGTGTCCTCTGTCTCCTGTGGAGACACAAGCATAGCCCCGACCCTGGCCCATTAGCGACCCGGGTTCCCAAGCGCCATTGTCCTCCTTCCACCAGATCTTCTTGGGATCAGTTTTCCTGTGAAGGGGGAAACGGCGCCCAGCTCTAGACGTGCCAGAGGCTTTTGGTAGAGAGACAAAATATCATTAACAAGACTAAAAGAAGCACGTGTCCGCCTGTTGTCAGAACTGTCTGCAAAATCCATAGGGGGTCCCTGGAGCGGCTTAGAGGGAAGCAATTTTGTTAAGGACCCATGAAGTTCATTTCAGGGACTCCCAGGGTTTCCCCCGAGGGTAATGACAACCTAATAACCCATAAAAATCAGCCAATGCTATTTGAAAATCTGCAGAAAATTCCAGAAGTTTTTATCTTACCAAGGTAAAAGGTAACGTAATTGTTAGATCATACCCACTCAGTTGTTGACAGCGGCATCAACCTGTGGCAATCAGTTGAGCTATTTGTTCCCAGGAAGGCCAAATGGCTTGGGGCATGTACTGCCTGGATGCAGTCACTAGAGAGGCTCTTCCTCTTGGGCTAGGGCAGCCGTGGGGGTAATCGTTGTGTGAAAAATGACAAGGAAAATGTTCTCAGCGGGATCAATCCAATAAGTCTTCCCGGGCTGGTGCATTCTTCCACCAACTGTAATTCTAGGGGAGCTTCGGGGGTGAACTCTAGGGCTATTCAGTTGGGGATCCCCCTTTAATGTGTGAAACAGGTGTTGTATAAACTGTAGGAATATCTACCAAAGGCCGCACACAACTGAGGTCTCCTAATTTTTTTAAATAATTCAGCGTTTCTGGGTGATCCTTTCAAATGTCAAGTTTCTGTGGCCTAATGGTGGTCTGATCCACTTCTGTTCCTCCATATGTAAAAGGCCTGATTGTCTGGATCTTATCTGGGGCAATTTCTAATCCTATCGAAGAGACAGACTCACTGCTGTGAGTCTAAGTTTGTTACAGCATTCCACTATAGGGTGCTATTTAAGAAAAAGCTTTCTGACTCGCTCTAAAACTTGTCCTACAAAGAACTGACACATGGTGGCGCTGTCGAATCATACCTTGGGCCAAGACTTCATCTGACACCTTAGTTGGGGCTTGCTTTTTCCCAAATTGTGAAAGCAAACTTTTCAAGGTAGAAACGGATCCAGGGAATGGTGTAAAAACAATCTTTTAGGTCAATGACCACCAAAGGCCATTCCTTCAGAGTCAGACTTGGTGAGGAAAACAAGGAGGAAGGGTTCCCATAGCCTTCTTCCAGTTGTTCCTAAACTAATCCGTGCAACGCCTGCAATTTTTATTAATGAAGGGACCGCTGTTCTACTCAGTCAGTGGGCTTCCAAGATATTTAATGGGAACAGGCTTTACAGCAGCAGCCCCCGTTAAAAATGTGACTAGCCTAAACCAAAACAGTTATGTGTAGAGGGGCCTCTGTGGAAAAGCGTGGGAAGCTGAGGATCTGGAAGAATGTTTAAGTGGCCTGCTCCCAGCACTTCAGCCCTTAGCTATCAGCTCATTTTCCCCCTCCTTCCCCCACCCTCATGAACCCTTGATAGATTAATAATTTCATATCTTACACTGTCCGCTTGTCCTTTTTTTATTTTAAATCATTTCATTAGGGGCTCATACAACTCTTATCACGATCCATACACGCATCAATTGTGTAAAGCACATTTGTACATTCATTGCCCTCATCATTCTCAAAACATTTGCTCTCCACTTAAGCCCTTGGTTGTCCCTTATTCTTAAGGAGCAATTTTCACCTCTTGTCTCTTGCATACCTGGTACTTCCTTTGTAAGTATTCCCCTAGAGCAGCAGTTCCCAACCTGTGGGTCTCGACCCCTTTGGGGGGGGTGTCGAGTGGCCCTTTCACAGGGGTCACTTGATTCATAACTAGCAAAATCAGTTTTGAAGTCACAACAAAAATAATTTTTTGGTTGGGAAGGGGTCACCACATGAGGAACTGTATTGAAGGGTCTGGGCATGAGGAAGGTTGAGAACCACTGCCCTAGAGGGCTTGGGCTATTCAAGTTGAGGGCACTGCCCATTTCTTTAATGTGTATGTATAAGGAGAGGCTTGCAGGCCTACTATAAAACCTTGTTGTTGAATAACCTGGGTTCTTCTCCGAGAATGGCGATCAGTCCCCTGCGCGCTGCTGTTTCTTCTGTAATTTCGCACCTTGCTCCGCAGGACCAGTCAACTGTGGGGCTGGACCCCACAGCAAGGGTCTTGTTCAGTCCTCCGGAGACCTCCCCCTTCCTATCCCACTTTCTTCATTATGTTCCGGGTGGTAGAGTTTTGGGGAGGTATCGTATATGCAGACAAGCTCCTCATGGTTGTAACACATTTCTTCCCCAAAGATTTATGGGGTGACAGTGACAACAGGCTTTATCAACCCAGACTGCCCTTCAGGCCCTGTAAACTGTTAAGATTTTTCCCCTTTGCCACACCCTTTCCTGGCTTACTTTTCCTACTCCCTCAGGGCTGAACTCAGGAGCAGTGGGTGGCTCTTAAGCCACTGCCAGGGTAAGGGGGTGCTCCCGGTATTAATCAAGCCTTTTCTTGGCTAGATCTAATTTAGGCCATTGTTGATGGCACATGACAGTGAGATCAGCTCTGGAATGTAAAGCCCTGAAAAACCTTTCCCCTCAATTATTAATTCCATATAGGGGCGTTCTTGTCTATCTGTACAGTGTGCCAACACCTCCTGGGCTATTCGGATTCCTCGGGCCCTCTTCCCTGAGTGATGCTCCTTTAACCAATAGGAATGTAAGGGGAGTAAAAGCAACTGACTGTCAGACTCTTTTTAAAATATTCCCGAAACTCTACTCTACCTACCTTCAATGGGGTTTCGCAGCAGTGTGAGGGTCCTCCTTTACAAGGGACCTTCCCTTCAGGTCCCTGTTTGGGCACCACTTGTGGGACTGGGCCCCACAGCTGCTGCTCCCATGGAAATTTTAGTCTTGGAAACCCAAAAGAGCAGTTCTATTCTACCTCGTAAGGTCACTGAAGCAGAATCAACAAGATGGCAGTAGGTTGGGCTTTTTTTTTCCTGAGCCTTGGTGATGCTATGGGGGATAAGCACTGGGCTGTTAAACATAAGGTCAAAGGTTCAAATCTACCAGCTGCTCGAGAATGATGAGGCTACCCGCTCCCCTAAGGATGTATAGTCCCAGAAACCCTCTGTCAGATATGGCTGCTATGACTCTTAGGGGACTTGATGGCAGTGGTTTGTTTGTTTGTGAGCCTTGAGGGAGTCCTGTTAGCACAGTGGTTAAGCACACTCAGGTATGAAGCCAAAGGTCAGGTCAGGGCTTTGAAGCCACCAGTCACTCTACAGGAGAAAGATGTGGCAGTCTCCTTCTGCAAATATCACAGCCCTGGGAACTCTGATGGAGCATCCTCTCCGTCCTGAATGGTCTCTATGCATCAGAATGGACTTATTGTCCACAGGTTTGGTTTTTATGGGCCTAGAAGAGCCCTGGTAGTGCTACAGCTAAGCAACAGGCTGCTAACCAGAATGTTGTGAAAGGCTCTTTAAGAGAAAGGACCTGGTGATTGGCTCCCATAAAGATGTGCAGCATGTCAATGGTGGTAGAATAATTTGGAAATGAATGTTAATAGTGACTGTAAGACACGAAGGGTGTAATCAGTGACAATGAATTCTACAAGCAGGAGTTGGGGAATTGGAAAAAATGAATAATCACTTAGGGGCATGGCAGGGGAGGCTTGGGGAGAAATGGGGTGCTAACAACAACGAGTAAGAAAATGTTCTGAAATTGCTTGTGGTGATGATTGCACAACTCTTCTTAATATGATTGAATGATTAAGTTGTACAATGTGTGAAGTATATGCCAACACAACTAATAAAATAATTTTTTTTAAAGAAAAAGATTTGCTGCATGGGAACGCCATAGACCAGGTCTGCTCTGTCCTACATGACTGCCGAGTTGGAAGCAACTCACAGGCACACACCATCAGCATGGGCCTATATTGGAGCTTAAGTTTTGGACACCCCATTTGGATGACAATGAAAGCCCAAAATCCATTTGCAGAGTCCCTCCATAGACTAAGCATCCGTTAAATTCCTTCTGATCATTGATCAAGGGAGAAGCCCTGGTGGCTAAGTGTTAGGCTGCTAACTGAAAGGTCAGCTGTTCGTAAACACCAGTCTCCTTGGGAGAAAGACAGGACTTTCGACGCCCATACAGTGAGACTCTCAGAAACTCACAGGGGGCAATTCCATCCTGTCCTGTAAAGTTCCCATGAGTCTGAATGACTAACTGGATAACAGGAAGTTTGGTTTTATTCACGAAGGAGGTGGGTAGCTTTGCTCGTAGGCAGAGTGCACTAGAAAGTGATTACCTCTGGGACAGTCTTCCTTAGGTGTGTGATGGGTGTGTGCTTGATGAAGATCACCTTATGGGAGGCAGTACACTCATGAGTCACGCTCTTATCACTCATGCCCTGACTGCCTTACATGCAAGGCAATCAGTCTTAATAAGTGCTTCTAATATACTGTACATAGGTCAATCATGGCTCCTGTTCCCGTTTCTGCAGTCCCACCTGTGATGTATTGATCTATCACCAATTACAAATTTGAGACAGCCTTTTGTTCCATGAGTTATTTAACTAGTGTCCTGGCTGTGAATCCTCAGATGCCCCTATGATCTCCTGTGAATTGGGATTGCTTTTGCACCCTAAAACAGCCCGTAAGCAGGTGCCCTGGTGGAGCAATGGTCTAGTGCTCGGATGCCGACAGGAAGGTGGGTGGGCCCTCCCTCCCCAGCAGCTTCCAGGAGGAAAAAGCTCTGCAGAAGTGTTCCGGGAAAGAGCGACTCCAATCCCCTGCTGCACTTGGTTCTGACTCAAGGCGGCTGGCGAGGACAGTACTGGCTGCTGGTTTCAAGCTGCAGCCCTGGCGGTTAGCAGCCAACACATAGCCTACAGCCCCACCTGGATCCAAGCTTTCTCACTCACTGCCCTCAGAGGCTCTAAGGACAGGGTAGAGCTGCCCCTTTGAGTTTCTGAGACTGTCACTGTTTGCAGAAGTAGAAAGCCCCATCATCCTCGAGTGGCTGGTGGTTTCTAACTGCTGGCATTTGTCAGCAGTTGATCCAGTGACCCACTGTGCAAACAGGCTCCCCCTAAAAAGCCCTAAGAGATAGGGCAGCCAACTCCACCACAGGGGGTTGGTCGACAAAGGGAGTCCCTATTGACTCAATAGCCTCTGCCAACAGGGGCCTTATGATGCAAATCAAAGCCTCTGCAAGATCCAAGTAATGTCTTCCTTCCCCGGAGCTGCTCTTACTCTTGCAAATTGAGCAGAGACAGTTGGCCTGGGGCCTTGGAAAGAAACATTCTCAAGTCCCTGCAGGGGCTCTGCCAGAGGTGGAGTCATTCCCAGTCCTCCAGAAGGAATGGTAGGGAAAAGGGGCCCAGGTAATTAACACACCACCTGGAGAACACTGATGGACAGGAAGGAGGCTCCAGGAATTAGGGCTGGATCAATATTCTGTTCATTATCTTGTAAGACTTTGTGTTGTCAAAGGACTGACTCTAGTATGTGACATTTTGACCAAGTAACTGTGTCCCACTTGGTAAAAGCATGCTCCCTCAGTGGGGGTAGGGTGGGAAGGCGGGAAAGAGGATAGATTAGGGCGAGGGAAGAGCACCCTACCCAGGCTCCACCCAAACACTGACCTTGCCTTGCTTTTGTTTCTTCTGCATCTTTTTATGGGTTTTCTTCATTTTCTTCAGAACTTTCTTGTCCTTCACCATTTCTGGTCCTACCATGCCAGGAGCCAAGGGATTCACAGGAGGCATCCCAGGAACAGGTGGTGGGTATGGAGGAGGGTAGGGGCCAGGAGGTGGGTAGAGCCCTGGGGGCTGATATCCCGGATACCCTGGTTGTGGTACAGGTTGAGGGGCAACAGCTGGGTTCCCCTGGGGCACTCCAGGGGCAGTGGGAAAGGGGCCTGGTGGGCAGGCAGGGTTCACAGGTGGTGGATGGGCAGGGTTGGCACCTCCAGGGTACATGATGTTGGGAGGGTATGGATTTGGCCCCAGCTGCCCTGGTGGAAAAAGCAGAGAATAAATTACAGCTAGGACCAGCCAGAACCTCTCCAGCAAATAAGAAACGGCCTCATTTACTCCCACCGGAGGCTTAAAAGGAATGGCGGCCTGGTGGCGCCATGGTTGTGTGCTCAACTGCACACAGCTTGGTTAGCAGCTCCAGGCAGACAATGGGCCTCCATATAAAGACGAGAGCCAAGAAAACCCAATGGGGCGGGCCGACTTTGTCACACAGGGTCGCCCTGCATCAGAATCCACACCAAAGCACACACAAAAGTTCGTTTGAAAAGAAAAATGGCGGGGTGGGGAAGCGACCAGAAGGACGACGGGTGAGCGCAGAGAGGACAGTCAGAGAGATACACCGAAGGGAGGCGGGAAGGAGGACGCCAGGGAAGGAACGCTGTCCTCCGGGGCTTTGCTTTGGGGCAGGTGAGCGAGGCGGGGCCAGTGGGGACGAATGGGCAGAGAAACTTCCTGGGGGGAGGGGGGGGAATCTCCCAAACACCTACCGGCATTGGCGTTCCACATGGTCCCCCAAGCCTGAGGGGAAAGAAAAGACGCAAACCGTTAGCCTCCCCTCCTTGCCCCCGACGGACAGAAGGGGCCCAGCCTCACCGCCTCCCGCCCGCCCCACGGGCCCTCCGAATCGTTTCTTTGAGTTCCCTCCTTGGCCCAGAGCACTTCTACCCCTAGTTCCCACGGCCCCTCCATCTTCCACTACCTCCGGTCCCAGCTGGAAGCCTCCGAGTCCTCACGAGCGGGGAGAGAGGGGCAGCGAGCGCCAAGCTCGGGGTTCCCTTCACTCCACCCCCTCTTCCGCCCGAGCCCGGTACTTCCCTCTTTCCAACGTCACCTCCCACTTCCTGGTCAGCCGCGCCTCGCGCTCTGGCCCCGCCCCTGAGGCCGCCTCATTGGTGGGGGGGCAGTCACTCGGCATTGTGATTGGACAGCAGGCTCATCCATCGTCTGGTCCCACGGAGGGCGGAGGCAACTGGTTTTAGAGGCGGAGCGAGGGCTTCCGCCGAGGGTCCCAGAAAGGCCGAAGCTTGGGGAAACGGGCTGGGCAAGGGCGGAGTCAAGTCCTGAGCAAAGTCTCCGAAGTGCGGAGAAGAAGCCCCGCCCCCTGCCCTCTGAGCTCGCCCAAACTCTTTGCTTTTGAATTAATTCTGACTCATAGCGATCACTTAGGACAGAATTGACCTGCCCTTCGGGTATCTGAGATAGTAAATCGATTTTTTTTAGGGGGGAGACTGTAAATCTTTACAGGAGCAAAAAGCCTGATCTTTCTCCCGCTTAGTGGCTGGTGGGTTCCAGATACTGACCATCTGGTTAACGGCCCATCAGTAGCCCCCTCCCCAACCGTTGCAGTAAGGCAAACAAGCAGGGAGCTGCTGAATCCCAACCACTATTGCCACCTCCGCCTATCCTCCACAAGACGCTAAGAAACGATGTTGGAGGAAAGACGGACATCTCCTAATCTCTCCCAGTATTCCCATTTCATTTGCAGCTCCTCCATCTCTCCAGTTGCCTGAGCCAGGAACCATGAGAATCATCCTAGAACTCTCTCTCCGTCCGCACCCCCTCCCCCACCCCGCACTCCTGACCAACTCCACCAACACGTGTTCACTTGGCCTCCCAGATACATCTTGACATCCCCCTCCTCTCTTGGCTTGCTACAGTGGCCTTTAAAAAGCAACACCACAATGAATACGGTTGATTTAATGAACATGTTTAGAAAGGACTATGTACTAAAATATTGAAAACTGCAGTTTCTTCTTAAACTATACACAGAACATTTACACAAAATGATCAGTTCTGACTGAAAAAATTGTATAAGACCCATCGTATTCTCTGCCACCAGAGCAAAATATAAATGAGAACATATCTGGAGATTAAAGAGAAAAGTTGTCTTCTAAATAACATGGGTCAAAGAGACCATAATGGAAATCAAATACTTTCATAGTGAAAAGTCTACTTCCAAAATTTGCAGCATATGACAAAATATAAAGAGAATACATTTTATGCCAACTTTGTTACCTTGGACCGAAATCTTTCAGAGTTGTAAAACTTTTATCTAGAAATGGGGTTCTTGGATGGGGCTAGCAAGCAGTTTGATTGAGTTCATCCTGAAACACCTCAGAAGAAAGGTCTGACAATCTACTTCCAAATAATCAGCCATTGAAAACTGTATGAATCAGAACCTAGTCCTAGATATCATTTTAAACTCAGAAAAAGTTACAAAAAATAGTACGTAGCATTCCTAGATACTTTTTGTCTAGCTTCGCCTTATTAGAGAGCTTTATCAGAGCTGTGTTAAACACTTGAGTTGAAGTATAGCATTTTCCTTTTTGTAAAGTTCAGGAGGGCAATGAATGTACAAATGTGCTTTACACAATTGATGTATATATGGATTGTGATAAGAGTTGTATGAGCCCCTAATAAAATGATTAAAAGTTTTTTTTAAAGTTCAGGGAAATTTATATGTGTATGGTGTCTTTCTTAGAAAATCATTGAATTTGAAAGAAACTACCTATTGTTTTTAAACAGCTATATTGAGGTGTAGTTCACTTATTTAAAGTGTACAATAAGTGGTTTTTGGTATATTCAGAAGTGTGTGCAACCGTGGCTCTTATCTGATTTTAGACTATTTTCATCCCCCTCAATGAAACTCCACACCCACCCACATGCAGTAGCCACCCTGCCTTTCCTGCCTTGTTCCTGATTGACAGGTTGGACTCCATCCCTACTCAAGTGCAAGTTGACATAAAATGTAGTGACCACAGAAGGAGGAAAGGAACTGAAACACACCAGGAGGGAGGAAGAAGCCACCATAAGTGGTATTGCATTGTGGGGATTGCAATCAGTGTTATGAAACAAAATGTGTGGGAATCGTTGAATAGAAAACTGATGAGCTCTGTAAACCCTCAATTAATTCACAGTAAAAAGTTAAAGTAAAGAAAATAATACTTTCTTGTCTCCGTTACAGTCATATCTTGGTGTGAGAAATGGAATATAAATATGAAATAATATTGGCAATAGTAATGTAAACATTGATGTGGACAAAAATCAATCAAAGCCAGGAGGAGGTCTGTAATGCTAGTATTCATCTTGTTGGGTCAAGTACCAGTCTGAGGACGTTGGGAAGGGCCTGCCTGCCCCTATCTGACCAATAATTCCAGGGACTGCACATCAATGAACCATCTGCTTCCTCAGCCCCAAAGACCAGGGTGAATTTTTAAGGACAGACCCATTTAGAACCCCACCCACCCCCAGCTGTAAATCCTCTTTATTTGCCCATCTGTTTCTACCCACTCCCTTTATTGCTTTATCCTCCTCCCCTCCCGACCAGCTTGAAACTTGCTCTCCACCACAGATAGGTGCGACTTCTGGGGTCCCCACAATGGGGGCCTTGGAGTTCGCCTGGGAGTTCAGGGCTCCCTTCTCTCCTCTCCCTCCCTGGCAGGTAGCACAGACTCCCTGACTCCCTGCTGGAGTCCTTGAATCCCTCCTGGGAAGCACCAAATAAACTTAGCCTTTTCTTTCTCTCTGGCCTGGCCTCGGTGTATCTATGTGGCAAACTTAATCCACAGGACCTTGTTGGCCCTGGGAAAGAGTTCAGATTTTATTGTAGGTGTGAATGGAAGCCTCCCGAGTGTTTAGAGCAGGAGACTCACATTGGCTGACTATAAATCACTGCCTACCTTGTGGGGAAAGAACAGGATAGTGAGAGCTGGCTTAAAGGGCTGGAAGTCTTGGTGAGCATAAGGAGGGCCCACAGGCTGGGGGCTTTTGAAGCTCTCAGTAGACTAGCTAAGAGATTGACTGGATGTGAAAGAAGCAACAAAGCCCACATGGAAGAAGCACACCAGCCTAGGCGATCACGAGGTGTGGAAGGGATCAAGTATAAGGCATCAACAGAACAAAAAATCTTACCATAGTGAATGATGGGAGGAGGGCGGAGTGGAGACCCAAAGCCCATTTGTAGGCCACTGGAGATCCCCTTGCAGAGCAAAGGGGCCAGAAAGGCAAGTCTTTGAAGGTGTAGACATACATGGTAGGGGTTGTGGTGATGGACCATGGGAAAGTCAAGAAGGAGGAAAAGATGGAAGGAGTAGGGTGGGTCGTGAAAAACAGGATGGATACACTGATGTGCTAGTGGGGGTGCTGAGAGGTCCAAGCCCTTGATTATTTTCTTGATAATCTTGAATCTTCTCCGCACCCTGCTGTCAATGCCTCTGCGCTTGCCACCGATTGTGCTTGATCTTGACATACCGGTCTGATTGGTGCCAGATTAATTTCTTGGTGCTCTTTTTGACAATTTTGGGCTTTTTCAGGGGTGTGAAGGCAGTCATGATGCCGGTGGGAAATGGCTGCCTCCTTCAAAGGCCATGCAGAACCAGAGCAGGGACAGGTGAACGGGAGTTCTTCACCTGGGATCCACTGATAGAACTGTGGGGAGGAGGGCAGTGTCGTAAGATGGAACTTTCTGGGCCTATGAAGTTGGATGGGGGAAAAGACACATTATCTTTTTCAACCTCGTCTAATTGCTAAAATAATAATACTTAATAAAAGCTCATTGAGACTGTCCCACTGGTGGGAGGCTTGTTTGGACACAGAATTTTCAGGTTGGGAGGCAAATGTCCACGGATACCCATAGACATTCAAGAGCTCAAACATCCCAGGAGGGAAAGGTTGAGGAGAAAATTAGGGAATAGGTAGTTTAGCAGGAGGAGAGGTGTTCAAATGAAAAATGAGGCTCAGAGACGTGACTTACTGTAAGTTCTACCAAGGTCAGGTCCCATCCAGTCTACTAGGCTGTTGCAAAGTCTGAAACGGGAGTTGGAAACGCAAGCGGAACCGCCGGAAAAAGAAGACTGCACTACTTGCATGCCTTGTCCTTCTCCAGTGACCTCGCTAAACTTTCAGTTTTGTCCGTTGGCTGCAACCCCAGTTAAGAGTGCTCATTCTCATTTGCAGGAAACTCAAATCCAGCCCATCTCACCGGGCAAGGACTTGCTTTGGTTTGTCACAGATGTACATAGGGTGCTACTTGGACACTTGCCATTCTGCATTGTCTCTTCTGGTCCCCAGCCCTGACTTGTCCCTCTCTTTTGCAATGGACCTCTGGCCCACCACTTCTTTTCCTATGTCTTTGAAGTGACAATTATATGCAAGCCGAATTGAAAACAAACAAACAAAACCCAAAAAATCTAACGTCATCGAACTATAGGTGACCTCCTCCCTGGGGGGCGGACAACAGAAAAGTGGGTGAAGGGAGACGTCGGACAGGGCAAGATATGACAAAATAACAATTTATAAA